ATGTGCATGAGGCAGCCAGCGATGCTAGCAAGCCCATTTGTACTACCTTATATTTCAAATCTAACTTCATGTCTTTTAATCTTCTTATTTGAGAGGGAGGGAAATTCCTTTTACATACTACACAAGGCAGCCAGTGATGCTAGCAAGCCCATTTGTACTACATTATATTTCAAATCTAACTTCATATCTTTTAATCTTCTTATTTGGGAGGGAAATTCCTTTTACATACTACATGATCGCATTTTTGGCGACCAAGTCAGGAACATCTGTTAGCATCCTGTAAAACCTCCTGCTTTCTCTTCGTAGTAGCTGTGGACACCTTCTTGTTCGGTTAATGCTTTGCCATCTGTTAACCTGATGATACCGTGATAAGGAGGCAGAACATTAGTGAATTTTTGATGGCATTAAAACAGTGCTTTTTGTATCCATTTTCCTCCTTCAGTTCTACATGGGTTGTGTATTATTTCTGTTCCTGTAGCTTAGTCATTACCAGGGATCTTATTCCGTGTGTAAAGTCTCACTGAAACTTTGGCTTTTTTTAAGCAGTGACCTGCCAGCCCTACCCGTGGTCAGGCTGATATGCACACACTTTACTTGGGAGAAATTATTTGCTTGAGAGAAAGTAATTTTGCCATTAAATGGTGGACTATATCAGTTACTCCAAATGCAAAAGTCAGGATGGAAGCAATGCTGTTGTAAATTATAGCGCACTTTACCCTGAAAAGCTTTGACTGTAATATTTGCTAGTTTTACCTTTTCTGTCTCACCACATTAAGAATCTTCTTGTTCTCATTTGTTGATACGAGCTTTGACAGCTTCTCATGCCTTTGAGACAATAATCAACATAGTGAGTGCAGGACCTTTTAAGAGAGCTGTAACTGAACATTATCTTGTACAACACATTTTGCTTTAGGCTTTATCATGAATAGAGTCTTTGATACTCGCCTATTCTGTTTCTGTTCTAGCTGTGTTAATCTTTACTTTTAATTACTACTTGTAATAACATCACTTTCCGGTAACAGAGGCTGTGAATTTGAAAGCCTAACATATAATAAAGAGTGGACAAGACTGCGTTTTAATCACATTAGGCGGTGTTTAGTGTGGCATCTCCTGCTTTTCCTCAGAGCTTGCTGTCTTCCTGCCTGACGTATTAATAGATTCTCAGAATGGTTTCTGACGTTCATTTAGGTGGTGCTACTGATCCTTTAAAAGGTGAATAAAGCGAATGTCAGTGGTGTTTCTGGCTGCTGAGCAGTTGCAGGTGATTCTCATTATTAGGCCCTAGTTCAAGCTCATTGGCAGCATGTGTGGTCAGGCAGCTGGGGATACAACTTGACTGTCTATATGGGGTAATATTAATTTAATGCCTTCCTTTTTCAGGTGAATTATTATCTGGCATTTAAGCCTGTGTTAATATACACCATGTTTTTCTTTTTGTGATATGAAAGTGCAGTAACGCACCATTCTTTAAGAATACCTTCAGAACACAAGCAAGGCCAGATCAAAAACAAGTGAATTCTGTGAATTTCATATCAGTTTTCATTAGCCTTTACCTTTTCTGCTTCAGAAATGTTTACCTGTTTCTTTTTTTATGTAATGTGGAGGTGAAAAAGGCCCCACAATCCATACGGACTTGCTGGCCCCGTAATCCGTACGGACCTGCCGCGTGTCTGCCCGGGTAGACAAGCTGATCACAGGAGAGCTGAGCTGACAGGGCGGTCGGACGCGTCCCGAGTGCGCGAGGGGATTGTGAAACGTGAGAGAGAGCAAAGCTGGCTGTTCTCCTTCAAACAACGTGTGCTGCGAGGCACTAATGGCACAACTGCCCCTTGTGCATGGTTATTGATGTAGGTGTTCAATAAAGTATTTTCAGTCTGCATTTGAGGGGAAAGAAAAAGCACCACAAAGTGATGGTGATGAGCTAATTCCTATTCCAGTAGTAAACCTGCTGCAAGTAATGTGTTTATCCACATATTTTATAGGAGTTGGCAAGGGAGTTCTCCAGCCAGCTGTAAGAGTTTGAGCAGGGAGCAGCAGGAAGGTCTTGTTAGCAAAATCGAGCAGCAGGGCAAGTAACAATATCAAATGTCTGGAAATCAAAGCATCTAGAAATCAAACTGAAAATCAAAAACATGTGCTTATTCTCATCTTTCACATTTTTATAACCTATAAGTTGGCAGCAGGTATTTTAAGAAGCTCAAGGTATGTGAAAATAGCACTGACATTAAGACAAGCCTGTAAAGGGCATAGGAAAATTGCCTGCATCACCTTCCGATTCACTGGACTTTTTGTTAGAATAAGGGACTTTTGCCAGGCTGGTGCATAAGCGACTGGCAGGGCAGTGTCTTTTTAAAAGGAGTGCCGAAAGCTCAAGCTTTTTGCTTAACTTGTGTTGTGCAGAGGAAGGAATCGTGTCCAGGTTTTAGAGGAGACAATTTGGAAAACTTGTCATGCTCCAGGACGCTTGGAATTGCCTGTGATTCACGTGTTCTCCTAAAGGTGCTCCTTTCTTTTGAGGCCTGTGCGAGTATATGGATCTCTATATATCTTTGTGTTTATGTATATATGCATATATACGTGCCAAAGAAAAATTGTTAACAGAACTTATCTTGTTTGTACCTGTCTTCTGAATGTAGTTCTGTACCCGAAAACACTGTTTTATCCTGTTTGTTTTTCTAGGCTCTTGCTCCAGAGTCCTTTAGAATACAAAGAGATGTTGCCTAATGGAATTCTTACAGCAAATTTTTTCAAATTTGTACAAATCTCTTAAGATTCGCTGCTGTTGTGAATTCTTGCTCAATGTAATGAGCAACAGTTTTTAAATGGTTTTAGACAATGCAGCTGAGTTTCTGTTGGGTTTAAAGGTTGAAACCTAGTGTATTAGTAAAATGTTGCTTAATATGTGAAGTTTGAATTTTGTCCAAATACATAAAAACTTGAAAAAATGTTTAGTATATTTATAGATAAGCTGCAAGAGCTGTTTATCTTAGTGGTGGGTAAAGAGAGGAGTAGATATTTCGTGCCTCTGTGAAGGAGTGAGTTGAAATGGGGGCCAGCCGTAACAGTCTCAAAGCTGGCAGCAAAATCTGCACTGCAGTGACTCGGTGGTGGTTTTGTTGAGCCTCTCGCTTTCTCAGCATGATGTTGTGCACTCCTGGGAATTTAGCTGAACCTTTGAATCTTCTCTTAAAAATGTGGTTTTGCGTGTTTAGGCCACCTTTCGCTTTTCTGAATTGCCAGGAAAAGCTTGAGAGTAAGAAAGCAGGTGAAGTGCATCAGGGAAGAGGGAAGAGTGTGAAGGAAGGAGGCATCAGGGGGCTGTAGGCAGCTTTGGTGTCTGACCCAAAATCACACAGGCCTTTTCACAGGCAGGAAGGTGCAACGAGTGCTCCTGTGTCGTGGCCCCTTTGGTGACACAAAGGGGGACTGCACTCTGGTAAATAAATAGGAGCTTGGGACTTCTGCAGTGTTTTCTTTCTTCTTTCTTTCTACTTCTGTGTTCTTTCTGCTTGTTCTTTCTAACCACCATAAACTACGAGATTTCCAATTTTTGGCTAGACACGTGGGTCACAGAGCACTTGGGCAGGGCTCCAGGAGTTCCAAGTTACTTATTTCCATTACAAGGTGAGGCATGACTTCCACTCTTCTCTAGGTTTCATACCGAAATGGCTTGGGAACAATACTAATATTTGTTAGGCTGAGCTATAAAACCATGCAGAAAGGAGACTGAGCCTTTTGAGGTTTGGACTGTACTATTCTCCGTAGATTTTTTTTCTCATTTACATTGCCCAGAGATCTAAAAAATTTTATACGCACGCACACAGCCAGTAAAAGCAGGGTATTGCTCCTGTTCAAATGTGTTAAGAATGTTAATTTTTTGGATAGGTAACAAGAGACATGATTCAGTAATACTTGGGATCATCTCTTCCACCTGGGTAATCCCTCTAATTAATTTATGACTTGCTGTGGTGTTTTTTTCACGTGTCGTCTCTGCAGCGATTAATCAGAACTTTGAAACTGGCAGCCCATACCAGCATCGCAAAAGATGGAGTTCAAAATTGTAACCAATTAACTTATTCTACCCGCCTGAGATTCATTTGTAGTCATTTTCAGAGAAAAATACTCTGCATCTTTGTAAAGTATCAAATGTGCTTGAAATGACCATAATTGAATATAACTTTTGAATTTCATGATTCCAGCTAACATCCGAAGGCATCGTTCCCTGTGACAGTGATGGTCAGCTCTAGGCTCTAGCTTGTTTTGCATTTAAATTGAATGAAAATGAGTGTTGAACCTTGTCTTTGCTAAGAAACTTGCTCCTTTTTTCCTTGTAATTCTGTTAATGCACAAGATGTTTTGGGGATTCACCCTGAGCAGAGGTGCAGGCAGCGGCCAGGACACGTCCCTGGGCTCCGTCTGGGGTGAATGTCCCGTGACAGAGCGAGCTGCTGTGCCCGTCTGCCCTGCCTGGGAGGAAGGGGGGAATGGGAATGAACGAGACGGGAAGGGTGTAACAGGAGGCTCGGGTTAGGAGCAGGGGAAGGGGCAGGAGGGATTTCTCTTCAGACACGTGACGCTGCACAGCCTGTCCTATTGCTGGAGTGGCACTCGGTAGCCTGGACTTAGCACAGGGCAAACTGGTCTTTTGCTGTTTCCTCCATATGGTGAGGCAAAAAGCTGCACACAAATGGCACGGCCAGATGCTTTAACAGCACCGTCCTTTGGTGGAAAGGGAAAGAAGAAAACTGCCTATAGGAGGAGACTGTGAAGTCTAAGCATCAAGCATGTCGCAGATTAAAACATGGTTATCTTGTAGTTTAGTAACTTTCTGTGTTATGTACTAAAGAAGAAATGGAAGCAAGATTGAGATTATTAAAGCTTTCCACATTTCTGATTCTATTACTGTGATAGCAGAGGGCATTTTTTCATTGTCAGTGCCCTTGAACTATTGAATGTTATAGCAAACCTAAACCCAAATGTTTTTCTCTTGCTTTCCAAAGGATTCACCCTCCTGAATACTTCAAGGAGAAATATGCTGTGGATGAAGTTCACTATGTAACTGAGGTGAGTAGTCTGCGTCTCTGAATATTTTTTTTACAAATCCAAAATTAATATGTGACTGTGATTCTGCTCATCTACTTATTGGGTGCTCCGTGACTGTGTGGGGTACTTCGTTCTTATAAACCATTTAGTTTTGATTTGAAAATTTTAAAAAAGTGCTGCCATTTTGAGCTGAACACTAAGGTCTTCTTCTGAAGACCTTCTTGTAAGCCTCTTGTAAAGACTTTATCTTCATCCCGGGAGCTAAAAGGAACATTTACAAGCAGGGATGCACTGCTGACTAATTTTTTGCAATGCGTGGTAATTTGAGGAAATTGCAGTTCAGAAGTGGCACGTCCTAGCTCTGACTGGGAGCCTATGTTTATTTTATACCTCCAAACACGGGAGGCATAAACAGACTATGGGATATGGCCGCTTGCCTCACTGTTATTTTGAATCATTTTGGTATTTGAATAAACAAATCCACATTTCACATGTAAGTATGACTTGCTTAGTTAGGTTTCTCATTTTCTTTTTGAACAGATGTTTATATAATTGTGCACCTGGCCAGTTATCTCTCTCTTTTTTTGTTTGTTTCTTTTTTTCTAGCAGGAAGGCTCAGCAGGGTGAGGGCAGTCTTTTTGCCAAGCTCTGTGGGTGATCTTTACAGAGAGCAGCTTCTAAAGGAGATTTCGGTATTTCCGTCCCTGTTGAATGCTAACCCTGACTCACTAGACCCCAAATTTTGCTGCAATCACCTGTGAAGATGCTTCATTTCGTTTTCATAATGAGTTTAGCTATGAAGTGAAGTTTGATCCCGTGATTCGGTAATTGCAGATAGAGGAAGCTGTGAGGAGGCTATGTTTGATGTATGTGTATTGGCATCATGTAAAATGCAGTCACTTCAATGTGTAGCTGTCAAGAGTGAAAATTCCAAGTAGAAAATGCATGTTATAATTAAAAAATACATTTTGTTGTTTTGAATAACTTCCCATTTTAAAAAATGCCTTTATTGCACTCCTTGACTCTTTTCCTTACAGCTAAAAACCTCATTGCTGGGGAAAAAGACCTCTTTTTGTGGACAGTAAATTGTCCCAGCAGAAGAATCATTTTCTGCGTAGAATACGTGGGTTGGAAGCAGAGGCTATTGCAGCTTGCAGTTGCTTTCTGTCCCAGCAGAAGAATCACTTCTGCATACGTGGGTTGAAAGCAGAGGCTATTGCAGCTTGCAGTTGTTTGACTTTCAAAGGCTCTGACTGTAACTTTTGCCTGATACCAACACGACGGTTCTCCAGCACCAGGACCCAAGTGGCCTGATTTACAGGGTAGTTTTATGCCAACAAATGGCCAGTCGTCTGTGTGTTTAATCTTGCTATTTCATGAAATCTGAGACACATTACCAAATAGACCACAAAATACGATTTGGACTGGTATATTTATGCCTTGCTAGCACGTGCTTTCCTTTTGGCAGCGCTGCCAGCGGCTGCTGAGCTGGTGCGGCGCTGCGCTCCGCTCCCTGCCTCCCTGCAGCAGCCCTGCAAGTCCCGTTCCCCTGTGCTCGCCGGAGATTAGGGCAGGGGTTTATTTATTTATTTATTTATTTTTAACCTTAGTATATTTATACTCCTCCCCTTTTTATCTAAACATAGTTGCAAGCAAAGGACAAAGCATTTAAAAATACCAATAATATTCTCTGAGCAGGAAACCAAGAATCCATTAAGACCAAGGAGTTGTAACTTACAGTGAGTGCATATTGATTTTAAACAGCAGTAGTGCAGTAGAAACTAAAGATGTCTTTGTGCTCATTTGATGAGTGCTGAATAATAATTCAAATCTTAACCCTTTGTGGTGAGCTGAGCATTTAAACTTTCTGTCCTCCCAAAAAATGGGCCCAGTGAGTCCTTTGATAAATCCTGCACATCTCATTTGTTCTTTGACTCGTCAGGAAATCAGGCTGTTCAGTAATGTGGGCTGCCCTCTGCAACAAACTCAAGGCCGTTACCTGCAGTCTTTCCGAGGAGCCCAGGGCACTCGGTGTTCTGCTGCCGCTTGGTCGGGAGCGCCGAGGGGCAGCTGCCCAGCGAGCCCAGCTGAGCTTCGTGCCCACCAGGCAGCATTCCTGGGACAGAGGGAAGTTGTTCCGTTTGGGTGTTGCTGGCTGGTTTCCTGTGTCTGTGGTGGTGGCAAACACATGACAGGGGAGAGCTCAAAGCCTCCGCCACAGTTGGTGGAAGTGAGGCATGTGTCATTGAAGGAGACCTTTTGGTCTCAGGTTATAAATGCTTGAAAGACACCAAAAGAGCCTCTTCTACTTGGTAGAAGATGACCCAAGAGAATAGCAGTAAATATTCAGAGCATTGCACATAATAATATTAATGCATGTGTTTTATATGCAGTAGTGCAGTGCAGATGCAGTTCCCTGTTGTTCTTCATTTGTGTGTCATGTTACAGCATTTGACCCGTATTTCCTCTTTCTTCCAAAGCACAACTGCAGACTTAAGATGAAGACATAGTTGATATTTATGTTTTTAAAGGAGACTATCAGCTTAAGCAATGTGTTTCTATTTTAAGTATTTTGTGATACAGTGACTCTTGTTGCCAGTGTCAGGTATGATTGCAGTGTCTGAAAGACTTCAGATATTGCTTAAAGAAATGGGGAATCAAATGAGATTATGAGGAGAAAAAAGCTTAAATAATGGGAATTTAAAACTTCTTTTTTAGATAGCCAGTATCTTGGCATCAAAGAAACCATCTACCCTTCTCACTCTGGTAAGTGATGCTATTCTAAAGAACAAATCAATTTTCCTAATAGGAGGATCAGATTTGGCCTTCCGGTTTATATTCTCTGTGCCTTTATGTTTGTTTGGATAAAACATGACTTAATGTCGGCTGTGCCTGTGCTCAGTGACTTCAAACTCCATTTTCTCTTCTGTTGCTCTGGCCATGCCCTGTGCATATTTGGGCCTTTCTGTGGGAATCGCCTAAGAATTCAGGGGATACTTTCTCTGCAGAGAGTGGGTTGGTAAGGTGTGATCAAAAGCCTCTCCATTAATTTGAATGCTTCTTACTTTTCTCTGAAATTAAGGTGAATAAGTGGAAGTTAAGCCTGCCAGTTCCTCCTTTCCTGTCACCTCTTCCCCAGCTTCTTTCCCTCACTCCCTGGCAGATGCTTTGTAAACTTATCTTTCACTCTTAAGATTGTCTGATTTGTTGGCTTCAATATATATATCCATCCATATATATATATATGCGTGTATGTGTGTGTGTGTATATATATATATAAATATAAAAAGAGTTCCCTTACAGCAAGTGCAGTGGCAGCTCCTGAATTTCTTTTTTCCCCCTGATAGTTGCTAGCCAGAAGTCTCTCAAAGTCTCTTTTTTTTTTTAAAAAAAAAAAAAAAACACAACCCTCCCTAGGCATTTAAATAACATGAGGTATGGTCTCTTTATACACTAAGAGGCCATAAATAATCTTCATCCCTTTGTTCACTAAGAAATATATATGTAGTATATACAGAAAGCAACAGGCTCATCAGATATATATAAATATATATATATAACTGTATATATAAATATATATATAAAAAGATGAGCCTGTTGCTTTGTCATGTTCTTTCAGAGAAATGGGAAAGAAAATATTGGTGTGCTCTGCTCTCCTTACCATAAGTTTCTGGACGTCAAGTTGTTGATTAATTGTCACACCGTGAGCGTCCCGTTGGAAACAGGATTTTTGCTGTAACTCCTGGCTGAGGGGATGGAGCTGTGATGCTTTCACATTTCTGCAGCACCACCATAAAGCCTGGAGTGGGAAAGGGAAGGAGATTCCCTATTCCCATGGCTGGTGGGTGCTCGGCCCTCTCCTGCCGTGGCCTCGTTCCGGATGCGGAGCCAGACGCTGCTCCCGGGGTCCCCGCGCGCGGGCCGGGAGCGCTGCCCTGCTGCCCTGCCACCAAAACCCTCCCCTCCTCGCCTGAGCTGTATAGCAAATCTGCACAGTGAGCATTGCTAGCACAGCGAGGAGGAAATTCTTCTTCAATGAGATTGCTTTTAAAAAATCTTGAGTGCTTTTTATTCTCTTGCTTTTTATTATTATACTGCTCTCCCAGATCTCTCTGAAGAAATAAGGGAATTAGAAATCCAAGACTGCCAGCTTCCTAAGCAGTGCATCCTAACCTGAATTCTATGCCAGTCTCCTTTGAAACACTGTTTTGATCTCCTCTTGAGCAAACAGTCTTTATTTTTTTTTATAGTGGTTTCAAATACTCAGAATAACTTTTTCTAAAGACTTACTGTAATCAGGTTCTCCCCTTACTTAAACTCTCACGTACTTGTGTTTAGCACAGAGTGATGCTCCTTTTAATCTCTTCCCTCCCAGCGCGGTGTTAATACTGATAGTGGAAATGTCTCCAAAGAAGCTTCATTTGAGGGAATCAGCCAGTAAGTGACAAGGTGTTTTTATACATTAATTGTTGCACGATTCTATTGATTTCATTTTATATTTCATGTTAATTTGCTAATTACAGGTTATTGAGTACCAGATCAAATGTATTGATATTTCTTTTGAAAAAAAAATAGACAATTTGACACGCTTTTAATCATTTGAAATACAGCATGACTTTTTTTTTTGAAATCTCTTATCTAATACTAAGATCATCTTAATACTTTTCTTTCTCTTTGCTTTAAGTATGTTTAAAAAAAGTCCTCCTTTCCACTATTAGAGATTAAATATTTGATTTTTAGATTTCAGAAAATTTGATTTGATTTTTTTGAGTAATTCCTTTCTTTTACTAACTTGCCCATATATTAAGGATTCTGGTGTGAGCATTCTTCTGAAAAGATGTTCAGTATCGAGTGTAAAATAAAATATCACCTTTCTGCATAGATGTGACCTTTCCATGTCGGTGGATGTTGTCTTTTTATGAAGTTTGGCTACTAGCTGGGTGGAAATGACCTCCTACATGTAGTATTTGGAAAAGGAGTGTATAAAAAAATATGTCATAGACCTGCTCTATGAGTTGAGGACGATGGCCTCAATTTTGAATGAAATGCAACTGTGTTTTCTGTTGTGATAGCCTGAAATGAGTTTATTTTCCATGTTAGCTTGAGTGCATGGCAAAAAGGACACAAAACCTCCAGCTCTACAAAGCCTGTTAAAATGAACCCTCTCTCTGCAGTGTTGGGCGGTGGCCTCTTTTGATCCTTGTCTAACGCCTGCTTTATTCTGCTCCGTCCGCCCGTGTGCCCAGCAGGCACGGGGATGCTCCGCTGCCGGCAGTGCCCGCGTTGTGCTGTCCTGGGCTCTCCTTGGTGCTGTGGCCCAACCTGCTTTCTGCTGGGTTGGACTTTGCTCGGTGTCAGCTGAGCTAAAATCTGGAGTCTGATTCCTCAACTACCTGTTCTCCCCTCTACAACCTAACTCGAAACTTAAGTTAACTTAAGTTTCAAGCTGGAGGTGTGGATGCTGGAAAGCTGCAGTGGCAGATACTTAGACATCCATTGCTGCTCAATGAGTTAAGCATTTCCTGTTGCAGGACAAGAGAAAGGCGTTTTTGTGGAATATTTGGTGTACTTTCTGCTACTGCCATAATCTGGTGTTCTGTTCCTGTGACCCAGCCAGTGCTCAGCCATCTTACGTGCTCAGCAGATACAGGTGGACTCCCTGTGTTTTAGGTGGAGCGATATCTTCAGTTTTATCTGCAAAACCTCCACCTGAAACACGAACAGTTATTACCCCCACCAGTAATTCCCCCTGGAAATTACGTACAAAGTTCTTTTTGAAGTATCATAAAGTCCTTTTGCTTCCAGAGTTTCCTGGAGTTTAATTAATAACACCCTCTGTGACTAGTCAACATTTGGGAAGGAAGCCACTCCAGCTGGCACTTGACTTGCACTCGTGATGATGTGTCCTGAAACATTGCAAGGGGTGGATGATTTTTATTGCTGGCTTCCCTGTTGGTGATAAACATGCTCTCAGTTTGCTCTGACAGGATCACTTCTCCAGTCTTTCGGGGGAGATTTCTTGCTGTTCAGCAGATAATTTTCATTTCATTTTGTGTCTTTTCCTCTCCTCCCCTGCTTGCAGCATGGAAGAGGTCTTGATTTTGTGCTCGAATATGCTGGTGGATCCCCTCCATCCCAGCTCTCCTGGTGGATGCAGTGCGCTCGAGCCCCTTGTCACTCTCCTCGCTCCCTGGTCCCCCAGTCTCACCCTGGTCCGCACGGGGCAGCCGGATTTGCCGTCGGAGCTGCCCCGTTCCTGCGCCGCAGGCGCTGGATGCTGCCCATCGAGGAGGGGAGGAGGCCGCGGGCTTCCTTCTGAAATCTTCCCTCCTTGTAACCACATATATAATCAACAATTTTATTTTGCTTCTCAACACAGACCCCAACCAATTTAAGTGTTTGTTCTTTTCTATTTCTCCCCCTCTATTAAATGTGTTCTTTATTAAAGTGTTTAGATTCCTGACACCTGGTTTTGCTCCAGGATCGCTAGCACCTGGGCACTTTGCACCCCGCAGGGTGCTCTCTTTGCCTGCCCGCTCCGGGAGCCTTTGCCTGGTCCGGCTCACCAGCGGCCCAGATAGGAGCTTGTGTTTTATTTCCCTGTTCTTGTTTGCTTCCATTTTCCAGCTACCTGGTTGGGATGTATTTACTTGCGAGGGCCCCTTTGTATTTCTCTTAGTCCCATTTGTCTCTTCTCCTAAGCTGGCTCTGCCCCTGTGCGTCTTTTGCTGTGGATAATAATAGAAATAATGTATCATTTCCCGAAACAGCTGAATCTTGCTCTCACTTTGCAGGCTGTTCATCTGCTCCTGTCAGAAGCTGCTTTTTTCTTGCCCTAACAGTGTTGCTTCTGTCCCTTACTTTTTCAACCTTTCGAACTTTCCCCAGAACATAATCATCTAAACTGTTTGATTAATTTTTCCACTGTAATAAGTAGTCATCTTGCCTTGTGGCATAGGGGTTTTGTTTTGTTTTGTTTTACTCTGTCCTCATCTTAAAGGTCACCTCTAGGTAATATTTGTCCTGCCAGCAATGAGCAAGCTTGATTTTATGTATCTGCCGGTCATAGAGCCCATAATAACAAATCACCTCGTAGGGTCCGTTAGTGTACAGCCACCTTGTGTCCCTTCCAGAATGTAGGCTGCACGTTTGAGGTTTGAAGGAAAGTTTGCCTTCTGCTGCAATCTGTTTAAAGAAGGAGAATTGTTTTGTTTGGCAAACCTGCTGCTCACCAGTGCACAGCACCGTGGCTCGGTGAGGGGCTGCTGTGGGACGGTGAGAGCTGGGCTGGTTACTGCTGTTGTTCCTGCTAATTCCCTGAAACCAGCTTTATTCATGTCTCTCACAAATCCTACAGAAATGAGCAGCTTTCACTTGTTTTAGGTGTATTTGTTGCAGCAGGCAGATTTCTACAGTACAAATGCATCGGTTTCGAGAAACAAGTATTTCTGCCTGCCAATAAAGGCTAGTTCCATTTTTGGTAATTTATGGGCCCAGTTTTCAGACATGAAAGCACAGTATTTTTTTTTTTTTTAAATCAGATCATGTGGCTGTTACGTAGCTCTTGTAAAAATACTGTGAGATCATGAGGCTGACCTGGTGCTTTGTGCGTGCTGCTGCACCAAGCTCCGCTCGACGGTTCTTATTTCAGTGACAGAACTGACTGATGTAGATGATAAACAATAAACAATTGCACTTAATGCTCCGTGTTTTTCAGTGGAGTCCTTTGCCTCCTAGGCACAGCTGCTGGGGATGGCAGGGAAGCCGGGCTGGCTGCCGGGCCAAGGCCTCTTCCCCATGGCCTGGTGGGGTCAACCACGAGAGGAAACGTCCTCTGTGTTGAAGAGAGTAGAAAGTTCTAATACGATGGATGCGTTTAAGTTTCAGATTTTATCATCATATCCACACAAAGCATATTATGCAAACTAAGGGAGGAAAAAAGTCTCATTATACAGGACATGTAGATTTCTTGCCCCAAAAAAAAAAGAAAAACCTAATGAAATTGCTTTGCATGTTGAAGGACAACTGAGTATGAAATTGATTTGAACATGCCATTCAGTGTAATATGTCTTAGTTTTGTGTTGATTAAATGGGAGCATTAACACATGTTACAGATTGCAACTGTAGCAAAATGTCAATTTGTTTTTTTCCTCAAGACACATCTCTCATCTTTTAAGTACTGTCAATTTGCAAATTGCAGTAAAACGTGGAATTGGATTGCTCTACATGATCCTCTTAGTATTAGGATGGTCCATGTGTTTTTTATAGTAAGTTATTTATGCTCTAGGAATATCTAAACTTGCTGGAGGGATAGGTAGCATTATTTTATATAGAACTTTGCGTAAAAATAATGTAAATAACACTGTGTTTGCATATTCCTGCTAGTGGCAACACATTCTTTATCATTTTTATGCTTTTTTATCATTTAACCAGTAACTTTTAGAAGGAGGTTTGTTCAGCTGCCTTACTACTAATTAAAGCGACCCATAGAGATCCCAGGCTAAGCAGAGCTGGACAGTTCTATCCTTAGTTTTGAGCTCCTCTGAAAAGAAGTATATGAGATTGTTGCCTGAAACTGGAATGGCGCTCTGTCTCTGAGGTCTAAGATTTTGTTTTATGCTTGACGTTATATCAGAAAGTGTGTCAGACGAGAGAAAACTGGTTCTGCTTGTGAGCCCCCGGCCCGCGCCGAGCTCCCTCGTTTCAGTCCTGTCCTTGGGTCCCTGACGCTCCCGGGCAGCTGCCGCACGGGGACCGGCCGGTTCTGCAGCACCCGGCAGTGCCAGAGGAAGCCTCTGAGTCAGGACAGGCACAAACCAGGGCCGATGATGGAGACGGTGCATCTCCTCACTGAAACGCTGCCTTTTCTTTTGCTCCTCAGAGGAGGCAGAATTTTCTGTTTTACATGAGCTTCATAGTTTTGCTGTTCAGCTTGTTTGATTTGCTGTTGAAGTTCTCCATCTGTGCTTAAAGCAAATATGTCAGATTCTTGAAAGAGAAGTGTGGCAGCCTTCTCTCTCTGCCCTTTCCTGCCCTATATTATCTTTTATTCTTCACTTCCCTAATAATGCTGGTTTCTTGTGCTTGTGTTGTTTACCTGGAGCTGCTGATGGAGCACTCTGCACTGCTGCAGTATGTCTTTACACTTGCCTCTGTCTGCTTTTTGCCTGACATACCAATGACAATTATTGGAAGTCCTGGGATCCGCTGTGGCGTTTGCAGCCTGAGCTGTTCTTGCTGGTTGGTTTTCAGGGGTGTTGCTAAGTGGCTTGCTCTCCAGCCGAGTAGAGAGTTCGTTTGTTTGTTTATTTGTTTTTGAGTTGTTTTTTTTTTAAATATGCTTTAATTACATTGCCCTTCCTTTTGATCATTAATTCTGCGTTGAACTCTCTAAATAAAAGTTGTTGCGATGATATTCAAATTTAAAAAGTGCCTTTTTCTCTGGTGGTACAAGACTGTCTTGTTTCCACATGACCAAAGCTGTAATTTGTGGTTATTTGTACCATACTCCTTTTCCACTGGTTTCTAATTTGCCTGTAACACTGCCCACCATAGAGCTTGTCTCCACTGAATGTTGGAGGAAGTTACTGTTTTCTCTCTGAGGAGCTTGGAGCAGGAACACAAAGCTGTAGACTTCACCTTTTTAGATTTTACAGGTTTCTGAGCACATGCTCCTGGAAAAAAGAAACACAGATTTCTGCTCTGCTACGCAAGGGTGCAATAAGATCCTGGTGTGATTAGAAGTGACTTCCAAATAATTTTTAACTGGATTTGTGATTTTCTTGTTTCCTTCTAGGCATAAAGAATAACCAGTAACCTGAAATAAATACATTTTTTCCTTCAGAAATATGGGAAGATGAATTGTGGCTTTCTAGACTCCTCTGGAGATCTTTTGCCAGCCTTGGAATATTTTAATTTTCCTAAGTGCTTCTAATTGAAGAGCCAACAGTCCTGAGTCAGAGAGTAATACCTCTGATGGAGCACACTTCTTAGGCTGTTCAGTTGTTCACAAAACCAAACCTTTGCAAATCTAGCGCTGAGCATCTCGCTCCACTGGCCACTCTAGTGTCACCGTTAGCCATGGTGCAGTTCTGAGAAGGCAGGAACTGCTTAGCTAGGAAAGAGAAGAGCAGTTGTGTTCAGGAGGGCAAGGTGAGATGGAAACCTCTGCTTTGCCTCTTCTGTGGATCACAAAAGCCAAGGAGAGGGGTCTCGAGGTCGGTCTGGCCCACCTGCCGTGCAGGGCAGTGAATTGGCAGCTTGCATTTTACCTTGGTCAAAAGAAGGTTTCTAAACATTTCTTCCACATGCCATTACCTTATTACCTTACCTATACATTCTTAAAAGTACATGGTTTAGCCTCATGTGTTTCAGAATGCAATACTTGCACAGGGAAGATAAGTATCTGTGTTGTTCACACTGGCATCTGTACTGTTATTAATGAATTCTGATATATATGGCTTGATAATTTTTTCAACTTCAAAGAAACTTTTTTTTTAAATCAGAAAGTAAATAAACACTTCATACTGTTGTGTGTCTAGATGTTTTTTAATGTTTATGTCTTTTGTTTGTTAGATTTAACGTGAACAATAAAATTCTTCATCCTGAAATTGCAGAATGGTGAGTAGTATATAGTTTTCTCTATGAGTACTATTGGAAATGTTTATAACGTTGCTTCAGAGAGATTCCCCCAGCAGAAGCCTCCTAGTTTACTATGTGAGTTTTAATTTTTAGTTAATTTCATGTTCAGGATGGAAATAATATACAGAAGTAAGCCTGTGGTTAAGTAACAGTATCGAAAAGTGAGGGAATAAGGTAGCATTTTTTAAGAAATAAGCATCTATTCTCAATAACATATTTTATAGAAAGCCTTTAGAGTTAACAATCACATCTATATGGGCATTTCGATGAATAGGAAAATAGCTGAGCATAATTCATATTCTAGTGATGAAAAACAAATATAGTATTAAAACTGTGTCGGAATAGGTAATATTTAATAAGGTGTTATTACTTCCCTAGGATTTATTTTAACAGTGTTCATTTTGCAGTTTTATTATTCATATGACGATACTTGGTAATTCTAGAAGGATTTGACTGCAGCCATCCAGAGCAGTCAAAATAAAAGGATGTGACAGTGTATTAGGGCCATACGAAGTTATTGCATTTTTCCCAGCTTTCTTCTTTTGATCAGCATTGTTGACTTTGCCTTCCGATTGCTTAATAACTAGGAGTTTTCAGTTTTTCATTTGGGATATTAGCTGAAGAGACAAGAGAGTGTAATTTTGTTAATGAACCAGATTTTTAACAAAGCTTTTTGAGTGTATTAGTCTGTAGATGAGAAAACAAATCCTTGGATAAGACAGATAAGCTCAGAATCCTAAAATGTAAGCAGGAAAGCATACAGTCTGACTCTTGTGTAGCTTATTGTATTGCATGCAACTATTTCTTATTCATTTTAATGTTTATTATTGGCATGTTTACTAAGAACAATCTTCTGTTTCTTCGTCTACATATAATTGCCAGCTTGGATTTCCAGACCGTTTTCTGAACAGCAATGCTACTTCAGAATATGTGGAATTTGTAGTCATTCAGATTTCTGTGCTTTACAACCACTCTGCATCTCTTGGCATGGCATTAAAAACTTTCAAAGGAAGATGGGAAGCAGGGAAACTGATGTTTCTACATCAGTTTCTGCATTCATCCATGGATGCAGGTGGATCTGTAGATGAGCAGGAGTGGGGCTCACTGCTGCCAATCCAGCTGATGGGTGCAAGGGGATGCAAGTCTCCCATAAGACAAAATCATATGGACTGACAGTTTTTAAACCTCAACTTTTCCAAACTTCTAGAATTTGGATCCCAGTTATGCTGCCTCTGCCCTTTCTGGAACAGAGAAGTTACCTTATAGGCTTGATTTTTGAATTTAAAAGCTGATCCATTCTTGGAGAGGCAGGATCTTGAGCAATGCAGGCAGGACACAGCAGCTGTGAAACTGGCATGTGGGAATGTGCTTTTCAGATGCACAACTTAAACAGATTCAGAAAATTGTAACTGGCTTTAATACTGCTTCAGAGAGCAAGTTTTTATACTAAAGCTTATATAAGAGCAGATGTATATCAGCTGTGATGGAGGGAGTAATTGCTATAAATGGGCTGTAGAAAGGTGACAGCAGAGGCTGTAATGTGTGAAGAGAAGTCAGGGCTGCAGTGTCTGTTACTTGGGCAGGATCTACCCATCGCTAGGGGTCTGCAAGCTGGTAATGTTTCCAAAAGGACAAGGGGAAGTGACCGTGCCTACTTGTTTTCCATGTTTGTCACCAAAAGCAGCCTTTAAAGTTGCATGCATTTACCGAAACCCACAAAACAAGATGGTTCATAAACACTAAGCTGATAATTGGAAACGGAATATTTTTGTTGCTGTTCTTAGGCATGGTGAATGAACCTGGAGAAGCAAATGTTTGTGTATCTTTGGAGAAAGCAGTGACTTAGGAGTGTGTGGTGGAGTTATTCTAGTGCAGTGTCTGTAATTGCTTGGAATTCTATTTCCTTTGGAACACCTATTAGTGGAAAGTTGGTCATGCATGACTGAAATAATACTTGTTCCTTCTTCAAACTTTTTTCATTTGCACAAAAAGAGGGCCTCCTCTTATGGCAAGTGTAAACAAAAACATCAAGTGTATGAAGGAGAGGAAAGTGAGGGAGGAGAAATCTTTCTGCACTACTAAAATGAAAAAAAAAATGTGTTAATCCTGACAATAACAGATTTGTGCTTCTACTTTAACTTGATTGCACTTGATGGGTTTAGCTATTAATTGGAGACTTGTGTTACCTGCTGACTGTATATTTTTACAAATTCGTTTGTTTTCATATAAATAATAATGAACATACTCAGAGTGTGTACTGACCCCAGAGCTGTTTGTAGCAGAACGCTGAAGCTCAGCCTGGTACACGAGTGTAGTGCTTCTTCCTGCCGTTATGTTGAAAGCAGGTAAGAAAAAGGCACAAAAAATGTGGAGTCCTCCTCTCTACCCCGGCTGCAGCGTTAGCCAGGGACCCCAGAGATCCCTTCCTTGGGGGATCTGCTTGCAGGCAGATCTGACCCTGTCCCTGCACGTTTGTGCACCCTCCCTGGCTTCTCTACTAGCAGCTGGATGGGGCCACTTATCAGTCTCTGAGAGACTAAACACTTTCTGTAAAATGTTTCAGTGCTTGACCCTGTGTAGATGGAGGTGATGGATTCCATTAAAAAAAAATCTAAATCTGAGGCTGAACATGAACTTCTTTATGCAAAAAGGCTCCAGAGATCTAAAATGAATACCTTGACCCTGAAGCCTTATGACCTAGTCAAGTAAAACAGATTCTAATACTATTTACACTTGCAGTTGAGCAGTTATTAACTTGTATTATTTGCGGATTCCAATGAAGAGATTAGATATCTGAATTATGAAAGAACTATTTTTCAGACATCTGCAGATCAGGAATATGTACTGTATATTGAAAGTAATAAAAAGGCACATCAAACAAGTATTAAATTATCCTGCTAGCACAAGCAGTCTTCCAAAGAACACAATAAAAAAATCTATAAGCTGTTCCTCCTTCAGTCTAACATGAATATATTTGAGCTACTGTTCTTTATGTCCTGGCTAAAATGCAGAAGCAGAAGTTTGTTTCCTTGTCCATGGTGAACAGATTACACCATTCCGCTGTGATTTTTTTCACCTTTGCACACACTTGAGAACCTCATACCTCTCAACATGCATAATGATTATTTTGTGTCATATCCCAATTTACTAAGCATGTCAAAACCATTCCCCTCTCATTCCCCTCAGTTATCAACATTTTAACTTTTTTTTTTTTTAAGTTGTATTTGAAAATAAGTGATTGTGCTACATTGCAGTGCAATCACTGTCTGTGGGAAAATGCTGTTATCACACATCAGAGGCACTGTGGCTGAGAAACCTGTGTCTAGATCCATTGAAACAAACTACAGGAGCAGAAATATAGTAAATAGTCTTCTACAGCAGTCCGAGTAGGAGTATGTAACAATAAAAAAGCGATGTCTTGGTGACAGTTTCAAAATCCAGCAGTTTATAGTAGCTTGTAACTGCTGCAAGCACTAGAGTGGAATGCAAAAATGCAGTTTAAATGTTTCCACACAATTAAATGGATATTGTAAAAAGTGTAAGTAAATAGTAAATTTTAATAGTAAATTTTTGAATTTTTGAGGTAAGTTCAGGCAGAGCATCAAGCTCTAAATATGCACAAATTCATTGTCTCATAGGGCATGAAAAAGGTTGGTTGATTTGTTTATTTGTTTCCTGGAAACGTATGAAAGAGAATGGACATTGTTGCTTTAATTACAGCCTCAGTATTTTCTGATTTTTCATGTGTTTTCTTATACCAAGCAGAAATAGCATTTGGGTTCCCCCCACTATTCCCCGCCACCACACACACACACCTGCTTTTGACATATCACAAATAGGTGGGAGTTCTGCTTGTGCTAAATAGAGATCCTAGAGCTCCAGGAATTCCATTATGTAAACTAGCTTCAAATTGTATTTAAAAAGTAAATCAAGGATGCTTGTAGATGTGTTCTATTTGAAGTAATGTCTGAGCCATGACAAATACAGAAGTTCATTGCTTTTGTTCCTAATGTATTGTAGAATGGGTTGAGCAAATGTTGATTGGACAACTTGTTTGTTAGTATTAAAGCAAGCAGGTTGATGCTGGAAATGCCTGTGACTTTCCCTTGTGAGATTGTTTTGCTAATGGTGAATCAATGCCAACAAGACACTGCTGAATGTGAATACTGTAATAGCTCTTCATTCTTGTGTTGTGCACTCTTCAGGTGTATCCAATTTTACTGTAGGTGATGCATAGTATTTCAGGGTTTTTTACTCTTTATTCTTAGTGTGCCAAATTACAACCTAACCGAATTTCTGTTCTGCTTTTAAGTCGTGTGATTAAGACAGACATGGAGTTGGAAGTTCTCCGCTACACCAATAAAATCTCCAGTGAAGCCCATAAAGAGGTAATGGATCCTTTACTGTTAATAATTTTTGCTCTTAGTGTAACAGTAGTACTCAGAAAATGTTCTCAGCAACCCTGAATTGCTTAGTAATAAAATAATGGAAGGGCTGGAGAGAAATAAGAGGATAATATGCCTCCTATTACAGCCCTGTAATACACCTTGCATTGCCCTTGAACTCAGTGGTGCATTTGTGATACGTGCGAGATGAAGTGTGGTTTTGGGCAAGAGCTGGGGGGCCTCAGCAGAAGGTGACCTGCTTGCATCTGTCTGTCCTGTGTGCGCAGGCAGACGTGCATAGAGATGGGGAAAAGAGAGGTTCTGAGCCATGCTGCTCTGCGGGTTTGGGTCCCAAGGTGAGCTCGGTGTCAGGGCTGTGCTGGCGGGGCTGCCAGTGGACATTGGGGTGCAAAGGTGCTCTGAGTTGTGACCAGTGGAAGTTTAAAGTAGCTATAAGGTCACGGACCCAACCAGTGCCTTTGCCCCTGCTCCCCAAATGTCCCCTGTCTGTGAAGTGTGAAAAAAATCTAAAGGGAATATTGTGAAGTTACAAAGTGTATGAATAAAAGCACTTGCTTTCATTTGCCTTTGTCCTTCACCAACCTTGAACAAACTCATCCCATCTGGGATGATTCCTTCCACACAGCAACTGCTAGAATTCATAATCCGTTATCAGGCGAAGAAATAAAACGGGTGCACATTCTCAGCAAGTGAGAGCACGATTACGAAACCTAACCCAGTACTAACTCTAGTAACTTTTCCGATTACAAAGTAGAAAAGGGAATTTTCCGTTGTTGTACATTCCAGTTCACAGTTTTGTTTTGCTGGTGTTTCATAAAAGTAAAACAAAAGGACTGGCTGCCAAGCTCACTGGAGCTTTCAGAATTAAGCATGGGTTTTTAGATGAGCTGCACTTCATTAGGATATACTCGTGGCAATTAGATGTGCTTTATTGCTGGAGACTGCAGGCATTCATAAAGATTAAAATGAGTTTGATTTCTAATAGAGTTTTAAAATGATTCCACTGATGTAAATTCAAATGAAGTACAGGTGATATTTTTTTAATATATGTTCCTCTAGAGATATTCAGTCGTAAATTTATAAATATGAGATTCCCTCTCGCGAAGAAGGTGCCATGTTAATATGTATCTTACAGGTAATGAAGGCAGTAAAAGCCGGCATGAAGGAATACGAGATGGAGAGGTAAGAGTCCTTTCAACAAGTGTAATATAAGGAAAAAGTTTTTCTTCAGTATGTGTAGAAGCAATAGCTGAGTGAGGAAAAGCAATAGCACTGATTTAGGAGAAGCCGAGAGCTCGTTGCTGTTTCAAGGCTATTTGAAGCATTATTTTATTATTTTGAGGTGGCACTTCATCAGTTTCAGGCATATGTTTGATGATGGTTGATTATTTTTTGGCTATGGTTTAGTGCAGCATAATTTTCTTCTTGGAGTTTAATAATTGACAGTAACTTTACAAAATAGCCATTATTATTGTTTGAAGGCATCCAATAAAGCTGGGTTTATGGGTAAACATTGCCATTATGCTGGCTATGCTTAGACGACTACGTATATGAGTGTTCAAGAGCCTTATAAAAGGAAGTGCTCAATTACATTTCACCTGCAATTATGAGTCGCTACTGCCTATGCTTAGCCTGTACAAGGAGCTCTGAAAAATGCTGTGGACATCCGTTAGGAAGTCAGCAAGAATGCAGCACGTAGGTCTTTGCTGAAGACTGTAGTTGCTGTAATATTGAAACGGCGTACAGGCACATAGGAGAGATTGTTTGCTGGTAATTGGTAGAGTAATGACATGTCTAACTACAAAGAGATTATTGCTTCCTCTTTTAAATCAATATTCTCATTAGATTATTGTGAATCTATCTTGTAAAGCACAGCTTCAATCACCTTGTCCATTTATTTTTATCAAGCATATATCTTTAATTTTCAAAGTATTTGAATAATGAGGCAACTGAAGTAGTCATATCTAAGCTGTTGTTCTTTGTTGTCACTTTGACGTGTTAGTAAGCAGGCGAATTGGGGGACTCTGTGGGGTAAAATCCAGTGACCTCAGTGTTTGTCATGAGGGTGGGCATGAAGCACCCGGCAGGGCACGAACCAAGTAATGCCCCTAGAACATAAGCGATATGGAAGCACTAGTGTTGCACCTAAACAGTTTGAAGTTCTATACGCTCTGTAGGGTCATGGTCTACAGACTTCAAACTGCAGCTACAGGTATCACTAATTGACGGGAAAATATCAAATTATGTACACTGCCTGTGCTGTATATTCTGATGGTGAAGTTTTGGCTTTGGAAATCGATGGAAAGCAGCAGAGGAGAGTTTGTTCTGAAGCACTTTTGAAGGTTTTCACCTTGGCTGTCAGGAATATTCACATTCCTCTACTTCACGTTCTTCAGCGTTGTGTAGTATGTGTGTTTTTGAGCATAAAGCTCTACTTCCGAAAAGATCCTGTCTTTTAGGAAGAAGAAGAACAGAGATCCCCAAAGCAATTAAAATTTTCAATTACAACTTTTAGGACCTAAGATTTACCTTTTCTTTGTTCATTAAGTTCAGCAGCCTTCCGTAAAAAAATGAACCGAGTTACTTCTGCTGCATAATACAGCAAAAAAGTGTTAAAATACTCAAGGAAATATATTTAAGAGTAAACAATATGTAAAAGCTAACATATTTCTAGATCAATTATTGAGATCACTCTTTGAGAAATAATTGGAAATAAATAAAGTAAATTATGGAGAAATCTCTTGATGATAACTTTATTTTTGCTTTAAATCTTTATGAAAAAAATCACTAGAAGGGTTCTGTATGGCTACGTACCACTAGCAAATGATTTTTAACCAGTAATGCATTAGTACTGGAGTGTATCAAAAATGAATGCATTTAGCTGCAAGTCCCGTCAGCCCTGTTGTGGTGGGGTTTGTGTGAGTTTTTGTTTGTCTGTTTGTTTTGCTTTTTTTTTGTTTTGATGTTACTTAACTTTAATATGTGGTTAGTTGACTTAAGGAGACAGCCAAGCTAATTATCTACAAACAGTAATTCACAGCATGTGTAATTGCATATAAAGCCATTTTGGTAGGTCAGATTTTGGATTTTCTCTGAAGTGGTTTGTTTAGTATTTGTGCTTATCTCATGTTTAATTAATCTTCTGTTTAATTAAATGCTTTTAATTATGATAAAGCCTACTCTGTAGTGACTATATTGTTCAAATACAGCTAAATGTTAAAAGAAACCACTTCAGCTTGAGAAGTGATAAATAATTTTTTGTGGGGCTCTGGCCTTTGGGTATTGAAATACAGATTGTTTTAGTTAATCTGGATTCACCATTTTCCATCTTCTGATACATTTTGCTCTTTGAGCATTCTTGGGGAAGTTACCAATTGCTGCACCAAATCATCTGTGAAAATATTTTGATTTTCTGTGCTTGTCCCAATTTTCAGATTCGGAGATTCAGCTCAAGTGTAGCATTTGTAAGTTTTCTTTGTTAATATATGTCAACAAAAATGACCCCATTGGATTCTCTTGAAAAATTAGGGCAACGGACAAAAATACAAAAATGAATCCTTAGCCATTGCGTCTTGATATGAGAACCAGTGTCAAATCATTCCATGACTCTCTCCAGCATTGTGTATGGATTTATTTTTTTATTAAACAAGAGACTAGCACTTCATTAATCTCCAGCAGCATGCCAGTCTGTTCAGTGACTGAAACATGATTTTTCTTTTCCTTTAAAATACATTTTAAGCAGTTGTTAGGGTCGTGTAGCCTGGAAGTGGTTTGATTGCCTTTTTTCCCAAGACTGCCACACATTAGGGATTATTTTTTTTCAGTCAAGTTACTGTTGTCAGAAGGCTGGACTCAAAATTTTAAGATGCACAAAAAGCCCCTGAAAGAGGGGAGGAAGTTGCCTCTCCCCCCGTTCTTTAGTCTGGTTGCTCTTTGTCCTGCCTGCCCACGCTCCTGGTCATAGGGCAGGTATGTCTGCCCATTAGCTAGCCAGTGTTTGGGTAGTAGGATAATACTGTACCCCAAATTACTTGTTTTGTACTTGTATTACTTGTATTAGGAGAGTAGGAGGAAGAAAGATTGGCAGAAATTCCTGCCTTTACCAAAACATCGGCATGGCTGGACAGCCAAGGAGCTGCTCTTCAAATGCAGGTGAACAGAGGAGCTACCACCTGAGCCGGCGGCTTTGTGGTCACCCAGGGAGCCCCGTAGGAGCCAACAGCTCGGCGTGAACCAAAATTTCATGGAGAGGGTGGAATGAAGTGGAGCAGTCCGGGATCAAATAGGCCAGGAAAGGCAAGAGACTGTTTTGAATGCTAAGTCAATCAAAACAAGTTTTTTTTCATACAGATGTATCTTCTCAAAATGTATGAATCTGTCATATAAAGTGTGTGCCTTTAAAAAAAAAAAAAACAAAAACCCGTGCAGGAATTACCTGCTTTCTCTATCACAGCTGTTGAAGAGCACAATAACAATAAGTATCTACAGGTTAGTGCGGCTCCGACAGCGTGTGACAGGTGGCTCCTAGGGGTGTAGGTTGGTGAATTGCAGGTGCCCAATATCCTGTGGGGATGCACATATACTACCTTTGCCGGGAGAAGGACCTGGATTCAGAAAGACTTTTCCTTTCCCTTTTCCTTTTCCCAGAAAACTTAGAGGGGATCTGCTGGTTGGCTCCATGTGGGGCATCCTGGCCAGCCCAACTCAGGTGCAGTATCATGGGTTCTAGACTCCCTTTGGTGCAGTTACACTACACATAAATTTCCAGATACTGCTTTGTGATTTCAGTTCGTTTTTGTAGATTTCCAGCTATTCTGCGTGATGCTTGGCACCTGAATTCTTGGCACATGGATTTTGGGATATTCACCTCCCGGACAACACTTTCATTAGCTCTTTGTGTAGAAGAACACTGCTTAATTGCACAGGACTCCCTTCTGTGACTTGTGGTTGAAGGCCTGCATAACTGCATTGTAGGCCTGCATAATTGTGTTGTATCTTCTGTGAAAACTCTCTGGACTCAGACAGTGTGAAAACTTTAAAAGAAAACCTTCTATCAGTGCACAGATGAGAGCAGTTCCTGTGCTGGTGTTAGAAGGTAGCTCCCTTCAAAAGAGAGGTCTGTGAATTGTCATGCCTCGTGCGCGTGTGCAGAACTAGGCTTGTTTGCACATCCAAATTTAAATGCCATATCATTGTATGCCCTTACAGGGTAAGTAGTTTGTGTTATGATAATTCATAATTACCCTTTTATTATCCTTTTGGAAATCAAAAGATAGGAACAGTTTTTATTTTAGTATTAAATTTGATTGAAAATCGCAAGCAATATAAATTTCTATGGCTCTTTTGTAGAATAAAAGCTACTCTTTGTATTAGGAAAAGAATAAGCTTTCCTTTCAAATTAGCTGGAATCTAGCATGGAATTTAGATAGTGAACTAATTAGCATTACTAATGACAAGCTAAGATTTCAGATACATGGAATGGAGCTCATTGTAAGAGCCAGCAGGCTGAACTGATTATTATTTACTGTGGATTTTGTTCATGCTTGTTCAGACAAGTCAAAAGTAAAGATTCCATCATATGTGAGGCTTTATCTGCATTGTGATCTTCAGCTCAATATCTTCTGTTAGCTGCTGTAGAAGTAGGGAGATCAGAATTTTGTGTTGGTTGGCCCATGACCAAACTTGCTACATAACTGGACTTGGGGCTGGAAGCAACCTGAAATGGGTAGAATGCGAAAATCGTCCGCTAATAACAGGTTGTGACACGTTGACCTTCTGAAAACCAAAAACATTTTAGACAGATGAAAAAAAAACAAACAGAAAGACCAGATCCTGTACCTTGGTTCCTTGCTGCCAGCGTGTCCTTCAGACACCTTTTCTGAGGAGGTTCTTGTAGCACGCTCATCACTGCAGCGTGCAAGCGCTGCATTCTAGCGCACTAAGCAATGATACTGGTATCTGTCATGGGCTTTTTGTCTGTTCATTTTGGGTTTTGCATCACCTGTCCAGGGAGAGCCTTGTGCAGAACTGAGTACTGTTTTGACAATTGATTTCTGGTGAAACCTGTGTTTTTTTTAGAGAACCAATGAGAAACTGGATATTTGAAGGCTCCACAAGTTAATCATTTAGTCAGGTACAGGTACCCTCACTTCTCACTTGGCGCAATCCTCTTGTAAATGTCTTTCAGGCATATTGCACTGGGTTTCTGCTTTTCTATTTTCAGGTAAATCTTATATCCAGCTGGTCCATGATGGCCAAAGGTGGGCAGCATTCTTATCCTCTCTGTGGTTAGTAAGCAGTTTGTGAAAAGGTGTGTGAAGTTCTTTGGGTGCCCCATGTACCTGTAAGTTGTCACATTAGGACTGTGTGAAGTTTAGCATATTGGAACTGATGCACTGATATCCTTTGGCCTGTTTAATCGTTGCACTGAAATGGGAGGCTTGGCACTGGATAATGCATTAGGTTTGGTCAAGTCTCCAGGCTAAGTTTTCTTCTTTATTATATGTTTGAAAAAGGAACAGAATAAACTCTTTTCTGGGCCCATGGTGCAATCGAGCATACCCATTGAGAATTAATCAGTCCTTATGTTTTATCCCACCCATCTGTGTTATTTCTGTTTGTTGATGTTCGGTCTTTCTGCCCTTCTCTCCCAGCAGCTCAGGTGGCAGCAGAACTGGCTGGGCGCAGGCTGGGCCGGGGCCGCAGCGCAGGGCCCGGCGCGGTGCCCAAGGGCCGCACGGCGCAGC